GTTATGATTATATAAGGAAATATTCTTGTTTCTTAGGAGACAGATGCTAAGGTATTTAGGTTGGAGGTGTGCAACTTTAAATGTTTTAGGAAGAATAAAAAGAACAAGAACAAATATAGCAAAATGTTAATAACTAATAAGTCTAAGCAAAGGATAAATGAGTGTTTATTGTTGTATTGGTATATCGGTTTGTACCTATAAACTATCCCCAAACTTAAAACGAAAACAAAAGAATTTTAGTGATGATGATTTTGACGATTATGGTGATGATGATGATGATAGAAAAGAAGAAGGGAAATGGGAAGGGGAGAAATAAAGTCAGGTCCCAATTTACACAAAGAAAATTATTTTATATTTGTTTTTATTCTTGTACTGAAAAACTATCATTCCTAGAAATTGTCATGTCAACTTGGAAATCATTGAACATACAGATTATGAGTGTTTTGGTGCTCAGAAAGAAACTAGACAACTTCCTTCTCAGTCCATCAGCAAATATTTTCTGAGTGTCTGCTCTGTGCCTGGCTTATTTTGAAACATAGCCAGCTCATTTCTTCCAGCTCTAATGTTTTATGGTTCTGTGATTCTAAGTGTCTAAATACAATAGCTACTGTAGCTCAAAGCCAAGTCACACTGGTTGCTGTCAGCTTGGTGTTTCCTAAGCATCAACTTGTACCTTAGTTCCTTGATTTGAATGCTGCCAGTAGGAGAACTGAAGGAGCTGCATAATCTTTAATACATTTTCGTGACTATCATTTCTCTTGGAATTGCTTTCAAATCCTTTATTTTGCATGGAATCTTCATCCTAACAGCTACATTTTATTCAACACCTACTATGGGCAAGGCATTGTAAATAGGTACTTCACCTACTTTATCTACATTTCTTACAATAGCCATCTTGCCCCCATTGTCACACAGCTGGTAAATGTAAAAACTGGGTTTAGCACAGTCTTCTGTTCCTTTAAAACCAGGAAACTTTCCTTTACATTGTGTTACCAAAACCTAGATCACAAAGAAAGAGTCTAAGAAGAGTAGAGCTGTGCTGCTTGCCTTTGTCATCTCTACCAGACTTACACACTTTCTGCCAAATTAGAAAGAACAAATAAAATATAGTGTTTTTAATGCCCCAGTCTCATCCCCTTACCATATGGTACTGCAATTAAATCTTTGCTTCCTCATATATACCCTCCCCCCAACTCTTTGAGGTCCAAGGAACTTTGTTTTATTCATCTTTATATTCTCAGTGCCTAACACATAGGCACTCTGCAAATGTTATTGAACTGAATTATTAATGGGCCAAAGGGAAAGATGGTTATAGTAATGGAAAACAAAACATTTTCTTATGTTTTTTCTATGTACTAGATGCCCTTTTTTCATAAAAGCAGTTTTCTGATATGCTGAACCCAGTTCTCAATTTTTGGCCCATGTTTAATTGAGCTCAAAAAAATAATCAGAAATTTGAGTCAGAGATTTAGTTAGCTCTGCCTGTAATTTAATCAGATTTATGTAGCCCAAATATAGTAGCATTGCATATTATTAAGAGTCTTTATATTTTGCTTATTATTACTGTCATAATAATAGGCGAAATTTTTTTGTTGAAAGTTTATTAAATTAGAGAGAAAAGATTATTTTAAGATTATTCTATTTCCCTTTTTGAAAGCTGCTATGGGAGTACCCCCAGCCTGAAGATCCTCTTCTGACACTCTTTTTATCATCTCCTTTCTCACAGTTTAGAGCTTAAAGAGAGATATTTTTTTTTAAGTGTGTTTTCCTGGCATCTCATGTTTAACAGTGTCAGGGGTTTGTGTCCCTGGAACGAAAACTGTTTCTCCAGAGCCTTTTTTCTCTCAGATTCCAGTGAAAAGAGGGGCGAGGCGAGCCAGTAGCTTACCACAAAGCAATACCACCACAAAGGAAAGATTAAGGGTTTAGAGAGAGGTCAATGTGGGTTTTTCTCTAACTAAACACTTTCCTAAAGTTTCCTTGTGGAAAAATAATGAAGTCATCTCAGAGTTTTTAAAGAATTTTTATTTCTTTTTCACCGTCTGCATTCGCTTGTCTTCTCAGCATGGATGTTTAATCTTCCTAGGCTTTGTGAATTGGCCCAAATGAATAAGTGGTGAGCTGTCTCTCTAGGAGCTAGAGGCTTATTCTAAGGGCCTAATCACTGAGTAAACACATCTTTGCCCTCCCTCTCACAACTGCGATATAATAGTCGAGATTCTAGCACAGTAACCTGGATATTGCAGGGACCAATGCTTTGAAATGCAGAATGGTTGATCCTCCAAAACAGACAGTGCCTGATCTTCGCCTGCCTCTTTCTTCTTTTTTAAATTAAATATTGCCAAAGAGATGCTGTTTTATTGCTTGATATTGTGCATTAGTGCCCTGGATTTCCAAGTTTAGTTTCAGTCAACACTGTCGGCTGCACTTATAGGGAACTTTGCATGTTGGGTTTCTTACCAGCCTCTTCAGCACATGTGTATTTGGTTTGGAAGAGCATTTAAATTAAATCAGTGAGATAGCAATGTAAATCGCTAATCTCTTTCCCAAAGTCTAAATGTTCCATTGCAGTGTTCTTGAGAGAAATAGGCGTTTTAAAGATTTAACCATTGCCATTGTTTGGTTAGAAATATGCTGATTTAAAAGTGGACTGCTCTCTTGTTCCCAGTGTCTCATTAAATGTAGTTGCTGAGATACGATCAAGCAGAATTAGAGGTTGACATCCCTCTGTCTATTCAGCTAGAGAGCTCCTAAGAAGAGCTCTGAATTTGTTAGTGCTGCCAGGTTCACATTCCATTTCTTAAAACAGCACATTTCTAGATTCATTTACTAAAAGTGATTTGGCATTGCTTCTGCCGTTTGGTGTCTTTTTTGCCAGGGAGCTGTGGTTGAAATCAGCATCCAAGTTTCTTTGATAAAACGTGCTGAGACCTATGCTAGCTTAGAGATGCAAAGAAGACTGAAAAGAGACCCCAGTCCTCACACTTGAGAGACTTTGTCTAGAGGGGAAACTGGTAAACAATTATAATACTACCGAGAAGAGATAGAAGCCCAGAAAAGGAAGCTCTTAACTCTGCCTAAGGGAATCAGGGAAGGTTTCATTGAGGCATTTGCTTTGAGCCTTAAAGGATGAGTAGGAATTTAGCAGACAAGTATCTCTACAACAATGTATCTGATTACAATCTTCCTAGATGCCAGCTCCTGTTATCTGCAGATTTCAACATAGATGAAGAAACTCCTAGTCTTTCTTATTCACCATTTTATCACCACTGCTTCCAGCTGGGCCTGGCACAAAGCTTATTTCAACAAAAGCTTGTTGAATGAATGAATAAATGACCTGACACATGTAAGCAGCTACTGTTGGAGTAGCCGAACTACTTATACATAGGTATCCTCTGCATATTCCCAGTACATGCTGTGTCTGAGGCCCTTGAAGCATTGATGTATGTATGAGTGGTAGCCAGTCTGGCACTTTCATAGTCTATGAGCACACTAAGCCTTGCCTGTAGTATGGTTGATTTTCCTGCTACTATCAAAGAAAGAACACTAGGCCTTAGAGTCAGTCAATCTGGGTTCCAGTCCCAGAGATACTACTTACTAGTTGTAGAATTTAGAACAAGTCACCTTTCTAAACCATTTTTCTTCATATGCTAATAAAGTTAAGAACACTATTTTATAGGTTTATTTTGGGGACTAAAGTAGATGATGTGTGTGTAACTGTGCTCTCCTCTTCACAGTAGATGCTTTTGGTATCTTAATCTACCTATGTACCTCTGGCTATGCTCATCTAGTACAAAGTTCACCTTTGAAGAAAATATTTTAATGATTACTTTTTTATTATTATAATTCGGATTATTTATCTGGATAATTCCATCAGATAAGTCCATCACACTTCATTAACCGTTCATCAACATGTACCTTATATTTTTCTATGAATGTTCTTTCATTTAGTATTCCACACAAGTTTTTATCATCAAATCCTTATTTAATGTAAAGGGAAAAGACCCTAACTAAGCTTCCTTAAAATTTTCCTTTGCCAGAATTGCAGAGATTGGTTTGTACACTGTCTTTACCATAAAATTTTATCTTTCCATTTCCTGATAACTGACTCTTCTTAAACTCAGCTCTTCTACAAGGCAGCACCAAGAAGTTTGTCAATAACAATTTAGGAACTTTAATTGTCATTGTTATCAAAGCTGATATGTTGCAATTTATGTTGCTCGATTTTAGTTTTTAGTTTCAGTTATTTTATCAAATGCCAAACTATGACAGAGGATACCTTTAAGAGAATAAATGTCGTTTTGAAAGGAAGTTTTATCAGGCAAAAGGGAAAGAATAATATTCCATGTGAGAAACTACACTGGACAATTTTCTGAAATATAAACTAGAAAGAAATCATGTGAAATGAACATTTTTCTATCCTTTTAAATGGCAATTAGATGTTACATGTCCTTAAATAAGGACTTCTATCTGGGAGCACATTAAGGGCTTTGAAATTATCTGTAGAACTAAAACAAAACTTTATTTCAGACCTATTCCTTTCAAGTAGAAGAGAGACTATTCAGTGTTCAGGTTAAAAACATTAAAAATATGTAAAAGACAATTTTGGCATCCAAGCTTAATCAGTATTTTTTTTCTCTGTTTAGTTGAATGGTTTCAAAATTAATTTTTTTACATTTAAAGTACATATTAAATGTGAATAATGGTAAATCTATTTTATTTATTAAAAAATGCAATTCTGTTGCAATTTCTGCTTGAAATAGGCTTGCACATATAAACAGGAATTTGTGACATGGTTTGTAAAATAGAATATAATCATCCTACCCTCTTTAGCGTGTAAGGAAGTAAATTTATTCATATTAGTAAATGCTTTAGGAACTCTAAGTGTCAATTACTCTATTTAGGGAATAGCATTTAATTTTTGTCTTCAATGTATATTGACTCAAGAAATTTTACATTCATGGATATTTTAATTCATCAGTCTTTTCTTCTCTTTTCAGAGAAAGCTTCTTGCTATCTACCTCCATCATGATGAAAGTGTATTAACCAACGTGTTCTGCTCACAAATGCTTTGTGCTGAATCTATTGTTTCTTATCTGAGTCAAAATTTTATAACCTGGGCTTGGGATCTGACAAAAGATGCCAACAGAGCAAGGTAATATTGTTGTTCACAAGTTATAGTTGGGCTTCTGTTGTTTAAAAAAGTCATCATTGTATTTGATTTCTTATCATCATAAACATTTTCATCCTCAGCATTCAATTTTCTACTATTATATTTAATTAGATAAAAGCTATTCATTGTAGCTAACATATGCAGTTATTTACCATTATGAATTCCCAAACTGATAAAGATTTCTTAAATTTAGGAATAACCCAAAAACCAAAACCAAAATACATTGTTCTCAATTTTTTGCAATAAGAGAGATATATACTACATTTCTGTGTACTGTACGTTCTAATGTTGTAATATGTTGTTGAACATTTAGAGAAAAGTGTGTTTTTAATAATATTCTGAAAAGGCAAGGGAAGTCTAACATATACTCCTAGTAGTAAGTTTATTTTTTAATAATTCCAGTGAAGAAGGCAGGACATTCTGGACCAGTCCAGGGGAGTTGGTAATAGCTTAACTCTAGCATATGCTAATTGATGTAATCGCTTTATTGCACACATTCTTTTGCACACATCCATATTCTCAATAGGAAAAAATCCCTTTCCTAGCTGTCAGGATGAATTCGCTTAGTTTGTTAATCATAATATCTGTAAGTGATGAATAATTCTTTATATTTTACCTATTTCCATTTTCCATCTGAAATATATTTCATAATGTTTAATTATACATGTGGCCAGCCATAACATCCCATGATGCTACTTTGGGTGTGTTAACACAATCATAATCACAGGCTACTGGTTTATGAACAGAGATTAAATTAATTCATTTCAAGGCAAGCCTGTTGTAGTTACCTAATTTAAATGATTATAGAACAATTAGAAATTAAATCATCTGAATTGTCTTTTTATTATTTCATGGCTCACTGAATTTTTGCTCATCATTCAGACTTTGTTTTATGTAATCTGAATCCAAAAAGAAAGATGAGTCTTTCCTTAAATGTGAAGCAAAAGAATGTTGAAGCAATTTCTTCATCTAATACTTCATTTCTTTAAGCAAATGGTTAGGAAATTTCATAGGATGACTTCGTTCTGCCTTGGAAATGTTCCCTGTTATACATAAATAAAGAACCTTTAGCACCTGTATTTGTTTAAATTAAATCAGACTATTATTCACACTCAGTTAAAGGTGATGAAAAGCAGTGCCAAAAACAGATAAAAATGCAGCATCGAAGGTCTTTCATGAGGCAAAATACATAGGCTGGAGACTTGGCTAAATCTTTTGCCATTCATTGGCAGTAAGGAATCTCCTCCTTTCCTTTTATCCACAACTTGATGGAGAAGGAAACACTATTTCTAAACCATCTGTAGTGGCTAAGTTCAGCGGGCTACCTGCTGTTATTTTGTTCTATCCTCCATTTAATTCCTTAGTTCCTTTTATTTTACAATGACAAAAAATTGCAGTGTAGTTTCTTTTGAAAAACAGTGTTTGAGGGGTTTTTTTTTTATGACTGGCAATCAACAGCCATGTAATTGCTTTGTTATGTTTTACTAAAGAAGTCTGTTAAGTAGCACAACTTTGATACACTAGTAATAAGAGTTTGCAGGTTACAGAGACACCTGTGGTGACCAAAGCGACAGAAGCTGCTTATTAGAAAGAGCCAGTACAGCTGTGTCCTATTAACTCCTTATGACACTTTTTTAAAACACAAAATAAAGCCCTTGTTTAAGGCTTTAGAGCTATTTCTCAATGAATTTCTGGACCGACAATGAAGTATGATAGGATATTTCAGTCTACATTTCTTAAAATGTGGCATCCCATTATTAAGTAAATGTCATAAAAATAAAAAGAAGTGATATTAAAGATTGAAAATAGAAATATCTAGGAATTTGATTTAATAAACATTTATAGGAACAAGCAGGGCAATGCTGAGAAAGAGAATGTAATAATTTCTGGAATTTAAGATACTCGACATCTTTATTCAAAATCAAATTCTATCCATATTATAAATTAAAAACTATTTTAAGATAAGGTATTACATTTCTCTACAAAGTAACAGAATTGTGTAGCTACTTTTCGTGTATAGCTCCTCATTATTACTGTTAAGGCAAATGAGAAAAAATATGTTACAAACACAGATGAAGTTTCATTGGAATGGCATATTCCTAAATGAGTGTAAAAGTTTATTTTCTTTTAATATATAAAATTATAAGAGAATTAATTAATTAGGCTTATTTATTGCCCCCCAGAAGAGAGTTTAGCTTAGCCACAGTTTTCTTACAACCTATCATAGATCCACCTAAATAAAATTGTTTAATTGAATTACATTTCTATGATCTCTCTTGGATTTTTATCATCACATTTATCCAAAGGTATCTGTCATGAAAATTGATGGCGTCATTCATTTGATGCTATTAACAAAACCTGAGTAACAAAACCTCAAACATTTACTCTCAATTCAGTAGAAGACTGCTGCACTAATATTGTACAGTAGGCTATGTATCAAAAGTTATTGTGCCATCATTTGCCTATTACCAGAGAGTTAAAATGGGACAGATTAGTATGTGGAAATTTAGAAGAGATTTCACGGCATCACAAATAAGATTACTCTTGTTTTCTTTTAACTGTGATTTTTTTAATGACATATAAAGTTTGGAAATAAATTTCTGGTAGATGGTTTGTCTAGTCCCATATCTGGCTATCCTAATTGAAATTAAGCATATAAATTTAGAGACTTCTGAGCCTGTAAGCTATTTAGTCTAGATGCTTTCTTAGTGGGTTTCTGGGACTACCCCTAATATGATAGCTGGAGGACATTCATGCCCAAAATAGGAAGGGACTTGCCAAGCAAATTTACTTTTGCTTGAGAAATACTCTGATTACACCTACAGAAGCATTAATCCTCCACAGTTTACTGTGAATCTCTCATGTATGTAAAAGACAAGTGAAGGATATTGAACTAAGTGAATACTTTGGTAGGGTTGCTAGAATGTCAGTTGTTTTATAAGTTAAATTTCATTTCACTAATAAACGAGAAAAAAAAGAAACAGATTTCTATGGAATGTCACTGTTATATATCCCTGTGATGTTGATGGTTTGTATTTCCCACCTCCAAAATGATTCTAATAACTTTCTAAGCTGAATATTTAAGTTAACCAACCTACATTCATATAAAATGCATTAGGATAATTTTTAGGTTGATCTTGGAATATTCCAAATGTGAACTGAGACATCAGACTTTAGTTGTAATGATTATGTAATGATTATTACATTGTACATGCTCACTAAATTATAATCTTCTGGAAGGGCTTATTCATTTTATTTGTCTCATTAAACAAGGCCTTTCACAAAATTTTAGGAGAAAGAAATTCAATAAGCATTTGGCAGATGAATGTATATTATATCCACTTCCACCTAAGAATGCTCTTATAATTTCAGTATCATATATTGAAATGAAGATTTCTTTCTTGGAAAACTCTGTACAGTCTTGTTGGATGCCATATCTAGTTGGATTTCAAGGCCATTGTTTCTTCAAGCAGTCAGCAGAAAGCCCTTGTTAGACTTGAGGGGTGCCGGAGGATATAATTTCTAAATATCTATCTGAACAGTGATCCTGAAAGAACTTGGATTCAGTAATGAATCTTGTAAATGAAAGAGATGAAAGAGCTAAAAACAGGTAGATATTAGTAAACAAGGAGGTCCTACAAATAAACCACTTTTGGAAGTGGCTAAAAAATATCTTAAGAAAGGTATATTTCCTTCATGTTTATTCATTGAGTAAACATTCACTGAATGTTTAATATGAACCAGGAATGGTGCTGTGTACTGAAGATGAAAAGTTGAAAAAGATACAGTGATAATGCTCAAAACACTTTTAGTCTAGTAGGCAAGTCAGACATAAGAGCTAATATGTAATATGGAATATGTACAAGGTGCTTTGAGAGTATAAATGAACTTTCTAGTGAGTTACTCTTCCTGAGGGGCCCAGAGAAGGACTTGAAAAAGAAGACACACAGAAAGATGAAATCAGAATTTTACGTTTTTTTGAGAGAGAGATTTTTATATTAGCAACATTCCTAGTTTATTGGGTCACAGATATTTGCTATTCTTACAAAAGGATATTGGTATTTTAAACCTCATTATTAGATATCTAAATGAAGGGTCAGTGGTTTACATAATTGTGGAGGAGAGAAAAAAATAGAAGAATCCGACCAGCTAATATATTCCTATCTGGTCTGAACCAGAGTAAGGAATAGGGTCAACCAACTGGGATGGACAGATTCCAAGAAATTGTTTGTTAATGATTCATCCCAGTATTGGCATATGCTTACAGGCAAACAGTGGAACAGAGATCAGATTCTCTTTTGGATGTGCAACATATAGAAAACGATCATGAATTTAACTAATACAATGAAAATATTTTTTAGCATAATATATTTATAGTGAATGAATACTTGGGCTATGAAAGAATAATTTCTTAAAATTCAGAACGGATATCACTTCTCAGAAGCCTTGCCTCTCTCTATCCTTCTCTTACCTCCTTCTGGGTTAAAATGCACATTCCATATGCTCCTATAGTATCCCTATACTAACTTGTATTGATGGCACTTATTACATTGTGTGGTTATTGTCTGTCTTCCTGCTAGGTTGTCAGCTCCCCAAGGGAGCTTTGTCTATAATCTCAATGTGTTACACAGTGCCTTTTTAAAAGTAAGTGTTATAGTGATAAATAAACAAACAATCTCTAATAGGCTTGTTGAAGAAGAAGAAAAAAAAAAAAGGAAAAACCAGCTTGGGCAGTGGAAAGAGCATTGAAAATGCTGTAGCCTTCTAATTGTGTAATCCTTCCTCCATGGTCATTAATGGGATTAATAAAGCAAAAATTCATTCTCCTTGCAGAATGAACTAAAAATGTCCAGACTGGGTGCCATGCCTTCTACTGACCATGACTGGTACCATGTCTTCTGTAGTAGCACCCCAGAATACTGTGGCCTATATTCATGTGTCCCGGGCACCTACAGGCCATCTGAAAAGAGGCTTGAAATCCA